TTATTTCTGCTTCCCCCCCTCCGCCGCCCTCTTCCCAATCCCCCCCTTCAGCTCCTTCCACACCCACCCCGCCTTCGCCACGCCCTCGACCCCCTCCTGGACATTAAAATTCGCCACGGCCCGAAACCGCCACCACTTGCGCTGGGCGTCGGCGATGGAGGTATCACGCACAAAGTTGACGGTGCCGAAGCGGGCGTTGGCGGGGCGCAGGTCGGACAGCGCCATGGAGCTCGTGCGCGGCTTGCCGATCAGGCTCATGGTGGTGACGTCCAGGCGCGTGTTGGGCGGCGCCGTGCGCGCGAACCGCTCCAGGATGGCGCGCGACCACCGCGCGTACGGCGGCAGGTGCAGGTGGATGGCGGCTACGAAGGAGGATGTGCTCCAGGCTACGTACGTCGCGGGTATGAGGCCGCACAGGGCGACTGGGGGAGAGGGGGTTGCGTTAGTATGCACTAAGATTGGGTAGGCTAGGGTGGGGTGAAGCCGTACTGCCTGCGGTCTTGAGAAGGGGCTCGCCTGCCGCGATGTAGGCGGGGGTCATGATCATGTCGAAGAAGCCGAAGACGAAGAGGGTTGTTACTTTAAGGCAGGCGATGAAGGTGGTCCCTGGATATGTGTGAGCGGGGTACCTGGGAGTGAAAGGAAAGAGAGAAAGGGGTGGGCAAGGTAGACTTACTTGCTGTGCCTGCGTGATAGATGACCAGCCGCTCGGGATATACTGCCACATCAAGCAACCATACTATCAGCCCTTGCCCAACAAAACGCATTCCTTTATATCTCTCACCAGCTTTACCCCCAGTGGGCACTGTCCCCCCTACGCTGTCATTCGTCGTGCTGGGTCCCCTCGTTTTCCCTGCTTCCGCTCCTCGGGCCGCGCTCGTCGAGAGAGCCAACCTCCCCCTCCCCACCTGCCGGCTGGCCGGGATGCTGGTAAATTCCACCGATTGAAGACGACATGATGGCCTAGAGGGCAAAGCCACTCTGAACCGTGTTGGCGAGGCAGCCGAGTTAAATGTTCTCATGTTCATTTGTGCCCATCTTGGAGCCCGTTGCATCTGCAATCCAAGAAACATTCTTTGTGCACCGTTGTGGGCGCCGATGTTGGAGAAGCTTAAAACGAGGCCCATTGGCCTCAACTGAGTCTTCATGATGAGCTGCGCTGAATTATCATTTCATGGAATGGTTGTGAAGTTGTGCTGTCTCTAAGGTAATTGGGTAACGATTCGCTGCTAAGAGACGTAAACTTGAATGAGTGGGTCCGAGCTTCATTACCGCAATCAATACCGCAGAATTACAATCCCCGACCCTTTATTTACGGAATACCAACAACATCACGTGCCGAAAACCACCAAGAGAAGCGTTAAAACCCAAAGTATTCGATTTGTTCCAAAACCCAGCAAGTATGAAACAGATATAGGCTATTTGTAGTCGGGTAGGGACCCAACAGGGTAAATAAAGTAGCAAGACCGAGTCCCGAGTAAAGAAAAAATGTAGCAAAGGCATCAGAGAAAGGGGAGGATAATACAATATAGGCGACCAAACCCCCCCTCCCCCCCACTACCAACAGAAACCCAACGGATCGGAGAGTACTCGAAATCAATCAGATAGAAACTGTGCCTCCAGAGCCAGAGACCGTTTCCCCGCCCGTTTCGTTCTTCCCATTTGCCCGTCCCAATCCACGCGCGCCTACGCCCTAGCACCGTTGCGCCAGTGCACCCGAATCCAGCCCGCTATTAGACCACCCTCCCCCCGAACCCAGCCACCGCCGGCGACCTTATCCCTCCATTGTAATATCGGCTGCGTCGTCCTGTTCCGGCAACTCCGTCTCTTTCCACTTCTGGAACTCGTTGTTGACTTTCTGGACGTCCTCGTGGCTCAGCCCCTTCATCCACGCATTATTCGTCACCATCTTCTCCTTGAGCTTCTCGCCGAGGATTTCCCGCCGGAACGATTCCTTGTCTTTGACCTCCTTGGCCACCTCGGCCGTAGCGGGCTGGCTGGGGGCATAGACGAGGGAGTCGCCCGTGCCCTTCTCAAAGACCATCTTGGACGAGTTCAGGCAGATCCTAACCACCAGACTCTCCTGGATGACCAGCGGCTTGTTCATGTAGTCATCGTCCGACGAGTCTCGAGCAGCGTCCGACGGCAGGTTGCGCTCCAAGAGCACTTTTTGCAGACGCGACCGGACAACGCCCTCGGTGTGCTCCACCCGCATGTACGACGAGATGTAGTACTGCCACTGCTGGACCCGCTCCATCTCGTCCATGTAGAAGGTCGTCTCGTCCTTTTGCAGCCACCGGACCGTCGACTCTTTCTTGGCAGGGTACTAGATAGGGTTGGTCAGTGTCCATCTCCATGATAGCAAATCTTGAATCAAGAAAAATACATACCCATGAAATCACAAACATCTCGCCATCCTTGATGCACTTCTCGGCGAACTTGCGGGCGCTGATCTCGTTCTGGAAGCTTGTCTCAGTCTGCTGACGACTGTCCAGATACGCCTTTACAAGCTCCTTGGTCTTCTCGCCCTTGGCATCAGGGTTGTTGCAGCTCAGCGCGATGCGGCACAGTGTTTTGAGTAGTTCCTGGATCGTGTACAACTTCCATCCCTTACGAAGGTAATAATGCCGCAGCACCTCCTGGAACCGATTCTCGTCAATCTCGCCCGTAACAAAATCTTCAATCAGCTCCCTTGTCTTGGGCCAGAAGGTCGCGGGATCCTCGCTGTCGAAGTAGTGCAGGCCCTCGTGGACGAGGCCGAGCGTCTTAGCCGGCTTCTCTGCGTTTTCGCGCCTGATCTCTTCAATGACGCTATCCTTGCTCAGCTTGACGTCTTCGAGCCGTTTGAACAGAGTCTGGAAGACGGTGAAGAAGACGTAAATGTTCTGGTTGCAGTAGAAGTTGTACCACGCCCGCGGGAACGGCGCATCCGCCTTGAGCTCGCCATCCACGTCGACGAGGTCGGATCCTCTGCCGCCCTTGCCCTTCTCCACAATGATGGGGCCGGGGACCGTAGGCAACCAGCGGCCATTCGATACCTCCGGGACCGATGAGTCCTCCGGCGCGTCCGGCATCTCTTCCTCGTTGGCCGATCCCACGTCGGGTGTGGTCTCCTTGCTGCCAGATGCCGCACTGTCCTCTTTCTGGCCACGGCTGCGGCTGCCATTGCGGCTCGGGTCCAAGACGCCGCGGAGAAGATCCGACTTTTTGCCATTGCGACGGCTGCGGCCGTTGGTGAGCTCCATAGGGGCCGTGTCGTCCTCGTCCTCCTCGGCCGAGTCTTGGTCAATGTCCGCCAGCTTCTCCGAGACCTTGTCCTCGGCAAGGTCGAAGAACTGAGGGATGAATGACTCGAAGAACTCCACGATCCGCCTCCGTTCCTGCGTGTTATGTTGGCCACCGACGTTGGCAAAGATGACCATGAAGCGGAGCAAATCCAGGACGAGTTCCTCATCCGAGAACTGATGCGAGAACTGGTAGCGAGGAGTCTTGCCCTTGCCGACCCGGATGCGGCGCTGCTCCTCGTGCTTCGTTTTGATCATATCGACGAGGTGCTTTGCCGACAGGCTGCGCTTGTCATTGGTCTTGACTTGAATTCCCATGTGGTCCAGACTCTTAAGGTGCATCAACTCGGTTTGGCTCTGCCAAACCTTCTCCCATTCTCGCTGCAGCACCCATGGTTAGTATTTTTTTTTATTTTTTTTTTCAGAAATCAAGATAGGTGCCGGGTCTCTTACCTGAGTAAACCGCCATTCCTCGTCCTTCTGCTTCAAACGCGCCATGACGACGGGCACCACCGTAAAGGGGTACTTGAACATATCATTGGCCACGTCACAACCCTTTTCGGCACCGTAAATCTTCTTCAGAACCCTCTTGTAGATTGACGTGCTCTGTCCGCCGAGGCCGGCCGGCATCTTGAAATTGGGCCTCTCCGAGGTAGGCAGCGATAGCATCTGCTGTGCGATCGGCTCCAGAAGCTGTATGCATTTCTGGTTCGCCTCGATGAAGAAATCGTAATCGTGTCGCTCTTCCTCGATACGGTGGAGGCTTTCCTCGTAAGCATTTTTGCGATGGGCGACGAAGCCAGAATCTTCCGAGGCCCACGTCGGATGCGACGCCCATTCGTCGTTGAGAACCGACTGGCAAAGTTCGTCCCTGCCGGAGCATGGCTTCAGGCGTTCCCGCTTTGGTAGCAACCGGTAGCTGGGGCCGAACCCACGGCAATTGCTGAGGGAAACCCGGCCCGTAGGTGGCTCTGGACGGTTCTCGATTGCCTCATCGGCGGCGCCTTGGCCGAGCATGGCCTTCAAGGCACCGAGCAGTTCAGGGTTGCCGCCCATGAATTGGTTGGCTTTGTAGATCAAGACCTCTGTGGTAATCAAATTCTGGGTCCAAAGGTTCAGCAGTTTAAGGAATTCCGTCGTCGCTGTCCGGTTGCCGATGTGCTTCTTCACCTTCTCGAAGAATGCCAGGTCCTCCTGGGTCGACACTGCGAGCGGTGTGGGCGCCAGGGGCTCGGGTAGGACGGGGGTCAATGTGGGCTCGATGAAGGCCGTCTCGGCAGCATTGGGCTTGTGGGATAGCTTCGCCCGCTTGTTGGCCGGGGCAGGCGGAAGTGTCCCACGCATGCCCGACATTTGTGTCAGCTCAGCAGAGCTGGAGGGGCCACCAGAGACTGTTTTGTCGGGCCGACGTTTTTTGTTTTCTTTGCTGGCGCTGGCGGGCGGCGCAAAGTTGCCGACCGGAGGCATCTTCGGGCCGTCGCGAGCAGCATGTCCCGGCTGTGGTGTGGGTGTAGACACCGGTATTGCCATGCTCTCCTCGGCACGTTGGCCAGCCGATCGGGTCTGGGCGGCAGATTCGGGGAGAAATTGTTTGAAGTCTTCGAGAAGGTCGGGGGCCGTGTGGAAAAGGCTCGTCACCTGCGAGTAGACGTCCTGGATCGGTTTTTGTTCGCGTTGGTACGTCTGGAGAATTTCCAGGAACTGCTTGTAGATTTCGGGTTTATCCTGGAAACGATTCTGGGTCGCGGTTAGCAGCTGTGTCAAATCGATGGAAAAAGTCTCCACCGGGATTTGCCTGGCCCATTAATCCCCTCCCAACACTTCGGACGGAGGCAAGCCTTTTCAATGCAAGTGAGGAACAAAGGAGGAAAACAAAACAAGGGGTTGTTTTACCTTTATCTTGTTGACATAGCTAATGGCGTGGTTGAACTCGACAGGGCCGCGCTTCTCCAAACTGGCTTGCTGGGCAGTGCTGCCGTTTGCACTGGGGGGCCCGGCAGTGGGAGTGGGCGTCTGCGCGGTTCGCGGAACGGGAACCTGGTTCATCGGAGTGCCGTTTTGGGTGGCGGGGACCGACCTCTGTTGAATCGGGCTGGCGCTGTCAAACGGGACACCCTGGTTCGACCCCGGGAAACCGGAAGGGCCGTTCTGCGCTGGCACACTAAACGTTGCTTCCGGGCTATCTGCACCATGTGATAAAGGTGGCTGCCATCCCGATCTTGAGTTCAAGAACCCTTGTGGTGGCCCTCCTCCTGGCTGTGCTGTTTCGTGTTGGGTCGCTCGTCCCGCGCCGATCGAGTGGATCGTAGAACCCGAGGGCGTTGTGACGCGGATGCTGTTCGGGTTGTTCTCCAAGCCACATTCGATGCGATATCCTGGGGGCAGGAAGGTGTTGAAGCCTTGGATCAAGTTAGGATGCCCAGCAAAGAGTTCGGACACCCTGCTGATCACACCGGGTGTGTCGATGCTGGCTTGGGGTTAGCAAGTCGTGGCGATGTAACCTCGGCGACTGTACCCACGTTTGACTTTTAAAGTCTTTCATGATATCAAGAAACCTGTTGTAAACGTCCGGTTGTTCGTGGAACTGGACTTTCACTTGGTCAAGATAACTCAACGCATCCTAAGGAGCAGATTAGTGCAATCCACCGGCTTCGGATAGCCGAATGCAACCTACGTTCAGTATCGGCTGCTGCCCTTGGGGCATACCGCCAGGTCCTGATGGAGCAGCATGCCCGGGCCCCATGCTGGACCCGAAAGGCAACTGCTGCATGGCCCTGGCGCCGTCCTGCGGCATTCCCCGGCCATTCTCCTGCTGGAGGGGACCCCCGAATATGGCGCCGGGCCCGCCTGGGCCACCAAGGGAATTGGTAGAACCGTTGGAACCGCCTGGCGCATGGGTCATCGGAGCGAAGATCTGGTGTTGAGCGCCCCCTGCGGCTGGCTGGGCGCCTTGTTGCGGAGGCCGGCCGGCTTCGTTGTGCAGCGTCCCGCTGAAGCTAGGGCCGGGCGCAGACGGACCACTGATGGGCAGCGATGGAGCCGAGCTTCCGTGGTTCGCGAGGAGACCACCGGGACCGGTGATTGAGTTTGAGATCCTAGATGCGACGGGTTGGTGGATAGGCAACGAGCCAGCAGTGCTGTGGTGGGGGCCGGCGGAGGCGGTGGCAGGCGGGTACGGTTCGCGATGGTGGCGCTCAGCTTCTTCTCTGTCGCGCTCGCGCTCTCTCTCGCGTCTAGCAAGATCGTCTTGGTGGTGAGCGCGATGGCGTTGCTCGTCGAGGTCACGGTCGCGGTCGAAGCCGCTACCGGCGTGCAGCGGCTGGCTATTCATAATGTCGGGCTGCGCGAAGCCTCTATGACAGACTTAGTATCGTCATGCAATAGATCGAGGCACGGCGATATGGCGCTTTGTGGGAAGGGACAAGAGCGGTGGCGGGGTGGGCTCGCGGTGTCCGCGGTTGGCGGGTAGCCCTCCGGCTCAGGAGACGAGACGGGACCAAATGCCGACCAGGAAAGGGGAGCTTGTGCTTACAGCTGCGGCTGGTATTCCCATATAAGTTCTCTCCTAGGTTTCCGGGCAGCAAGGGCCGAAAATTCAAGGCAAGGGAACAAAGGGATTGTCAAGTCGTTGAACGAGCAGATAGTACGCGCTGGTTGAGAGAAAAAGGCATTGCAGAATTGGGGGCGTGTGTGGTCAACTGAAGAGCCCGTTTCTGACGCTGAGCACAGGACCCGCAGATCTCTTTCCCCTTGTCGCGCACCGATAAGGCCTGATAGCCGGGAGAACCTCGGGTAGCCTGATTATCCCGCTGCCTTGCGATTACCTCATTCTGCAAGCCAATCAAGCTTCAGGGCAGATGCAGGTTTCGTTGGACAGCTGCTCTCTCGCCTCGTCACCTTTCCAAACACCCGACCCGCACCTACTGTCGGAAACGCAATGCTGCCGGTAACGCAGTAATAAGACAACTCCGTTGGTCGAGCCCACGTCCGTCCATGGCCTTCGTTTGACTTCCGTGTCCTCCCCATAACCTCTTTGCCTGCGTCTTCATGATCACTGCTAGCCGTAATCTCGGGTTTTGGTGTGCAGTCGCTGCGTACACTGGATGCGGCACTGGGGATTTGCCCTGCTTCTCACACGTTAGGAAGTGCTGGGGCCACACATATACTTGCGTACAAGGCAGATACAGACAACTCGGCTTGGAAACGTTTTATGACCACGGTGTACTTGCTCGGGCTGCTATGCGAAGACCCAAAGTGGATGTAGGGTGCGAAAAGAAGGGAAAAAGAAGGAAAGGAGATAATCGGCAAGTAAAACACCTGATGGTTTAGGTTATTTTACACTGCCCTTCCTTCCACTGAATTCCAGACGCTCGACTTTCGTTGGTTCATCATTCGTCCTAACTCTCGAGCCATCCCTCATAATTCATCTCGTCTTAACCGCTTGCTCATTCGTCTTGATTTCACGATCTCAAAATATCTTCTTCAGAATGCAGGTACGCGGTAAATCGCCGTCCGCTCTACTCGGCATAGTTGCGCACGTTTTTAATGATCCACTAGTGAAAGTCAATATGTCAACTTCAGACGGCGCTTGTTGATACTGGACATACCACTTGGCCGTTTTCAACATTCCCTGCGACACCAACGATCTTGATCGAACCCGGCTGAATCTGTACTCATGGGTTAGCTCAGCGAGCCTCCTTCTGGGACAGAACCCGTAGGGTGCGCACCAGACGTATTCCGTCCTTTTCTTCCCACCATATCTCCTGATTACCCCCAATTGTTTTGACCTTCTCGCCTTCTTTCCAGGGGCTCGCAGGTACTAGGTGCGCCTCCACGAACCGTCGCAGGTTGCGCTGAGCTCTCTCGTGGCCTTCTCCGCCCTCGTATGCGTTCGGACCGAGCGCGCCGTATTCTCGAGGGTCCTCCCACGGTTTCCGAGGGAGCTTCTCGACCGCCGAGTTGAGTGGGGCGAGCACTGTTGTGTTGTGGGAGTTGTCTTCTAAGCGGCGCGCGGCGGATTCGATGTCTCGTACGAACCTAATATTTTCTAGGTTAACTAATGGTTTTTAAGAAGACGACCGGATGACAGTGGCGGGATATTCTGTACCCTGCGAATAGATTGATGCTCCTATCCCGGCTCATCACATCGGACAAAACAACGCCTCCCCCGGCACCTGTCGGTGGTTCAGCAGGAGAGGGCCCCGACGGGGGCATTGCAGGCCCGGGGCCAGCGGGGTCCATGAGAGGCGCTTGTTCGCGATCAAAGGGTTGTGGTGTCGAGGGGTTCCTTATGAGGGGTACAAGAAGCTGAGCCGAAACGGTAGCACTCAGAAAAGCGAAAGGTAGAATGGACGATCGCATAGTTTAGCAGCCTTCAGCCTCATAGCGGGTTCTCGAACAAGCAAAACTATCTCGCAGCCTAACGTTGTCCGCTGCAGTTGTATCTTATCGGTCGGTATGGTGCTGTGAGACTTGGTACCTCGGGCCCTAACCGGTCGGATGGTTGATTGGGCGGCAGAATGGCCAATTGGTAACGGTGGTGACGTAGGTGTCATCTGACATCGCACTTGACAGCCGCCCAATGCGCTTCCATGGTTCTTCTCAGCAACCCGCGCCTGGTGAGAAAATTGCGGTCGTATCCTTCCTGTTCCCTAGAACTCACGTGTAAACTTGTGTCCTCGTTTGGACTTTTCGTTCTATTTTACTTCTCTTGATTCGGGGAAGTTCGCTGTCTCAAACGGTCAGTATTGTGGGGCTCCTGGAGTTTGGGGTCTCCGGGCGTCCAGAGTTGATTCAACAGATGTCCGGCCATGCCCCTGCCCGGTTGCCAGAACTTTGTGTGCTAAAATCAGAGTTTAGGAAATTCCCATCTCCGTCTTGTCCGCGTTGGCCAATGTGGTGTTGTGACCTTGAACCGATCACATGTGAACCTCGCCCAATCCCACACGGGCATCCCACTTGGCGGACTTGGCAATTCATATGTCAAACAGAACAACCAGACTTGGGCAATCCGCGAAAGAGGGACGTCCATCCGCTTGGGCGCTGGTCCGCCATTGAACTCGGCTTGGTCAAACAGCCGGCCGAGTGGTCGAAGACCCAAGTGGTCAGCACCTAGAAGCGGGTCTCCCGCTTTTCAATCACATGCAAACAAGAAACTGGGGAACAACGCGTGACTGCCCATGGGGAACCCTGACCACATGCACGGATGAGATGGGGGGGAATGTGTGATGCCACTGCTCAGGCCTCCGTCCCTTCATCGGCGACATGGAAGCTTGGGAATATGTAAGTTAAATACTGGATTCTATCGTTTTAGGAGAGATAGGTACAGTTCATCAATCACCGGCACAGCGTCTTGTTCCTTAACAAGCGAGCGCCCACAGCGCTTTTACGACTCGTTCGTTACCCCACACCAAGTGAACGCCATTTCTGAGCTGCCCGGACCGGGATACCCACCAGCGCCACCGTTTTAGGTGCCGTGGCGAGCCTCGGCCCATCTACCGAGTACCGCGAGCCCACTTTGTCCTCGGCCGAGATCAACGCGAAGAAGACAATCGCTTCAAAGCAGAAGCCTGCGAAACCGCTTCTTCGGTATTCTGGGAGCGCTAAACAGCGGCGTGGCTTTTTCATTGTAATTGGCACTTGATAAATATCAAGAAAAGTAAATACCCGCCAGTTTCAGCGTGCCAGGTTGCCCCCAGACAGGTTTCGCATCGCCTCGCCTGCTGCGGATTCCAAGAGGCAAACCCCCCTGTCCTGCTCCCTGGCGTTGACCTCGGCTCACGAATCAGCGTGCCAGCAATTCCAACGCCAGCCCGCCGTTGTTCGCTCGGCAGGCGCAACCCATCGCTCAGATAACTACTCCCACATTCCTCACGCTCTCGGCATCCTCCTCTTTCTCTCTTCTACTCTCCAACAACCACAACATCTTTCTTTTTCTTCCGCCAGTCCATTTTTCAGATACCCCATCGCAATGGCACCGAGCGTTATCGTCGTTGGCGGCGGCCGTAAGTGAAACCCTGCCGTGATGCATTTCCGCCGAGTGTCGTCATTGTGCTTCTTTTGCTGACCATGATCTCGTGCTCCAGTTTCCGGCCTCAGCGCTGCCCACACCATCTACCTCGCCGGCGGCAACGTTGTTGTCCTCGACAAGCAGGGCTTCTTCGGCGGTAACTCGACAAAAGCCACATCCGGCATCAACGGCGCCCTCACAAGGACACAGGTTGAGCACGGCATTCAGGACAGCGTGAAGCAGTTCTACGATGACACCCTCAAGTCCGCCCGTGACAAGGCGAGGCCTGATCTCATCAAGGTGCTTACCTACAAGTCCGCCGCGGCCGTCGAATGGCTGCAGGATGTGTTCAACCTCGACCTCACTCTTGTTTCCCGTCTTGGGTAGGTTCAATTGCACCGAACCCGCCTTAAGGCGAAATCTCAATTGAGCGTTTACTAACTCTGCCGTTTCTTAGTGGCCACTCCCAGCCCCGCACCCACCGTGGTCACGATGCCAAGTTCCCTGGTATGGCCATCACTTATGCTCTGATGCAGAGACTCGAGGAGCTCGCCGAAACCGAGCCTCACCGCGTTCGTATCATCAAGAAGGCCCGCGTCACCGGCCTCAACAAGCAGGGTAACAGCATCACCGGTGTTCAGTACGAGCACAATGGCGAGAATTTGTCTATTGACGGTCCCGTCGTCCTCGCCACTGGCGGTTACGCTGCCGACTTCAGCGACTCCTCCCTGCTCAAGCAGCACCGTCCCGACACCTTTGGCCTGGCGACCACGAACGGCGCCCACGCAACTGGCGACGGCCAGAAGATGGTTATGGCCATTGGCGGTAACGGCATCGACATGGACAAGGTGCAGGTCCACCCGACGGGTCTCGTCGACCCCAAGGACCCCGGCTCCAAGTGGAAGTTCTTGGCCGCCGAGGCTCTCCGTGGCGAGGGCGGTATCCTCCTGAACGCCGACGGAGACCGCTTCTGCGACGAGCTCGGACACCGCGACTACGTCTCGGGCATGATGTGGAAGGAGAAGGACAAGGGCAAGTTCCCCATCCGCCTGATCCTCAACTCCAAGGCTTCCAATACCCTCGACTTCCACACCCGCCACTACTCCGGCCGTGGCCTCATGAAGAAGATGACCGGTAAGGAGCTTGCCAAGGAGATCGGCTGCACCCCGGATCATCTGCAGAAGACCTTCCAGACCTACAACGCCATCGCCGAGGGCAAGCAGAAGGACCCGTGGGGCAAGAAGTTCTTCCACAACCTTCCCCTGGACATCAGCGACGACTTCCACGTCTCTCTAATGGAGCCGGTGCTTCACTTTACCATGGGTGGTATCGAGATCAACGACAAGGCCCAGGTTCTCAACAAGGAGCAGAAGCCATTCGAAGGCCTCTACGCTTGTGGTGAGCTTGCTGGTGGTGTCCACGGCGCCAACCGCCTTGGTGGTTCGTCCCTCTTGGGCTGCGTTGTCTACGGCCGTGTCGCCGGTGATTCCGCCAGCAACTTCCTCTTCCAGCAAGCCCTCAAGGGTTCGACTGGCGCGGCTCGCCTTGGCCAAATCGCCCTACACATCGACCCCTCAACCCCGGGCAAGATTTCGGTCGAATGGGCCGGTGCTAGCAGCACCGAGGCGCCTAAGGCGCAGGCTGTGTTGGCCAGCGTCCCCGCCGCCAAGCAGGAGTCCAGCGAGGCGAAGCCCTTCGCCATCCCTGAGAAGGAGTACACCATGGAGGAGATTGCCAAGCACAACAAGAAGGAGGACCTCTGGGTTGTCGTCAAGGGCGTCGTGCTAGACTTGACCAACTGGCTCGATGACCACCCGGGTGGCCCCCAGGCCCTTCTCAACTTCATGGGCCGTGACGCAACCGAAGAGTTTGAGATGCTCCACGATGACGAGGTCATCCCCAAGTATGCGCCTTCCCAGGTCATCGGGCGCGTCAAGGGCCAGAAGGTCACCCTAGAGATCTAAAGATTGGACGATCTGGGGTGGACTGGTGATTTTCTCTTAGTACGGCGATGGTCGGGGCTCTGGAAAGGCGTATCTTTATAGAATGGTGCCAGGAAGACGCAGAAGACACTACTAGTAGGATGGCTTGAGCTTGATGTTGTGTATCATTGCATTTTGGGGTCATAGGTTGTTTGGGACACTCATACCAGCCGATTTGGATAAGTCGCTGGTTCAGCAGGGACGCAACCTGCTCTGTATTGATAGCGTCCTTTTGCGGGGAGATAATGAACAAAAATATCATCCGTCTTTGCTGTGTGTTGTATTGTTACTGCGTGACTGCGCCAACTCGGGCTATTTCCGCCCTGCAACGGCGTTTACTAGCTACCCCCTTAATGCCGCCTTTTGAGCACCGAGGATCGGTGCCTCCGCCCCGGCATAAATTCTCTTCCTCATTGCCGCCGTGGCGTTTAGCCCGGGAACACGAATGTTTCCGGCATGCACGCAAATGTGGTAGTACAAGACAAATGGGGACGTGGGGAGGCCTTCGGTATGGTGTGCATCGTTCAAAGCTCGGTTTATTGGGGTTGTTGGTTACGATGTCAACAAGAGAATATCCTCGACAGGAAGTTGGGTGGTCCGTTGGGGCAGGTATCAGACCATGAGGTTGCGGCCGGAAGACCTCGCTACGCAGGCTGTTCCGGAAGATGAAATACCTATCCAATCCTGCATATATCTCCAATTTACAATACAGGATAGGATCATATTGCCACAGGAGACAGAGAGGGGTTTTGCTTTGTAGCCTCCCTTTTCGTTGGACTTGATGTTTTCGTAAGCAACAGGGACTGCAACGCCCGACAGCAAGTTACCGGCTGCTTATTTTCAAGATGCACGGGGGTCGTCTATAACCTTGCGCCCACAGCCGCAATGTGGATTACACCATACTCCTCTTGGGTGGGTAGGCGGAATCACCCATTGGCGTATGTCATGCCTGCATTGATTACTACTGATGTATGTGCATGTTCTTCGTTTTGTCCTTCCTTGGGTTGTGTCACGAAATGGTCTTCACTCCGGGCAAGTCGGGGGGGTGATAGTCCTCGTGGGGGCTGGGGGCTAGTTCTACGTGGTTGGTTGGTTGGTGGTATCAACTCTTGACCTTAGATTGGTTGGTCGTTTGAGCGGCCGGGGAACTGTCCGTTGGGGCTGGTGATGACGGTCCATCTTGTCGTGGTGACAAGCAGCTTCCTTTTTTGAGGATTTGGGCACGATAGATCGGGGCCGGTTCCGGGCGTGCGGTTCCACGACGTTGGGGCTGAAAAATGGGAGCTGTGATCGAGATGGCGAACCGGGCAGCGGAAGGTTCGGGGAAAAGGGGCATGTACGAATATGTAAACTGTATTCGTATTGACTATTGGCGAGTTAATCTTGGCATCGAGTAGCTATGTCCTTCCTATTGTTGTTTTTTCTCTTCGTGTCTCCCGACTCTCTCCTCGCTACCGCCCAAAGGAGGTTGAGAGAACGCCACAAACACGCCATGACCTCCTACTCTCTTGCTTCTACCCGGTGCCAGGGGTTTGCAACCCGTTCCACCTACTCAGAGAGAGAGGACCTCATCCCACAAGCGAGGCCGGCCGGCCGCAACGTCGGGGCTTGCAGGTTGTGGCCCACGACAGGGCTGGCTCCAACGCTGCGAGCGCGGACATGGAAGTGACAACGGCAACCAATACCGAGCGCAGCCCTGAGCCGCCGGCCGCGCGTGCCCAAGAAAACTCAACGGGCGGGCAGCCAACAAGGGAAAAGCTTGAAGGCTGTCGTTCAGATGGATTGGGCCACTTAATCTAATAGTGTACGGTTCTAGGGGGGCACGGCTCGACCGTGCAGGTCCTCTGCTTAGTCCTAGGTCATTCCCTTGTTGGCCTGCTCTCCCTTTAGTATGTGTCAGAGACAGGGAGACGTGATTGCAAGGGCGGGACGAGAACTTAAGAACCTGGTGTGGGGGAGAGGGGGACACGTGGTATGCTTTACGCTATGGGGGTCGGCGGAAGGGACTTGGGCAAGCGGACCAGGTTCCGCCCTTGACTGCAATGTCGGGAGTGAAAATAGTTGAGAGCGGCTGAAGCCAAGAAAGAGTCGAGGCGCCGGCCTCGTCTTACTCCGACAGCCAATATGGTCGACATGTCAAGTTGTGACGCAAATACCAAGCCACCGGTGGTATTCGTGGAAGAGAGACTAAGTGTTATTGATACGGGGAGGGCAAGTGGCACGGCCTGCAAAGTGCGGTGAGTCGGGGAATGAATTGGGCGGACTGCAGGAGACTCGGAAGCGGTTGGATTGAAAAGAAAGATGAGTGAATCGTCGGAGGAAAGAATGTGAGTGGCTGCAACCCGGCCCCGAGACTTGGGAAAGCTTGGAACTGGCTGGTGGGAGGGCTCGGCCATTGGCAGCACAGAGACAGGGAGTGCCAAGTGTGGTCCCAAGAGTGACCCTTCTCATTTCATTGGATTCATTCAAATCCATTTCGTCATTGCCCATGTCAGAAGGAAGTACAGACTTCGAACTGCAATTAAGGAGATGGAAACGTTGGAAGATCGATGGCTTATTCTCTCAGAGGAAAGAGCGGGGACAACTCCAGATGTTGATGGTGGGCCTGATGACCACAGTGTCTGGTCTTGGCACATGATCCCGTTGGGCACTGTATTTTAAGCACTGTCGAGGGCACCACAGGCCCTGTTTTTCTGGACGAGCACTAACGAGCCACTGGAAATGATTTTCATAGATGGTCTGCTGCACTGTGTACCCACCACTGACTGGTTTATTTCCTCATTGGGACAGGGCGATGGTGGGCACGCACGTGTCCTGGCCCAGGCAATGTGCGCTGGGGGATCTTTGTCTCCCCGCACTGGCCCCGCAAAGTCAGCAGTTAGCCAATGGGACGACCGAAGAACACCAGAGCCTTTGCAGATCAAGATGTGGGAGGGTTCGCAATTGATGGTTGCAGAGTCACAGTGCGATCGGGCGAGGTTGCAGACACAATGGAATGAACCCACACTGTCGGAGCGCTCCCGCATTGCAGCCATGTCTCGCGTCTTGGAAGCCTCGAAACTCACCTCGATTGTTTCTGTCGGGTTCGTTTCTGCTAGCTCGGCATTGTTCGGATATCCAAGCCTTGGACTGCCGGCGCATTCCCGACGCCGCTTCGCTTCCCCGGGTTCGAAAGGGAATGATCTCGCTTGCGAAACTTGTCATTCTGGGCTTCTGCAGACACGGCGAGTTCGGTTGCGCGACCTACCTTAGTGGGGATTATTCATCGGCCCACGCAAGAATGCTTTAACTGTCTATTTGCTAGCGCGGAACACTTTGAGCACCACAAATCTAAGAGGGCAAAAGAGACAAGGACATCGGAAATAAGAAGGAAGGGGGGATAAAAACAAAACATATCTTTCTAGAACAAATACGGGGGTTCCAATTATGAGATTCCCTTCTTCATTTTTTTTTCGTCTCGAGATTTTGCATTTGCAATATGTATCCTCAGTGTCGTCTGCGTGTACGATGTTTTTGACTAGGTAGGTACCTTACCTAACATGACGACCTGAATGGGACTAGTTAACGGACAAAGGTCACTTCAGTGCCGGGGACTGCGCAGGTCCAATGGAAAGTTTTGGTTGGACGAGAGCAGGCAAGATCCACCAGACTTCGCATCCTCCCCTCGTTGGTCAGAGACAAGGGTCCCGCGTTTAGCGGGAAGGTTGAATCCCCCACAAGGTGGGACTTTTGTCAACCATCGTTGAATTGATTGACACTTTCTCACTCGGGGGGCCACTTCGAAGTCAACTGGGCAGTCAAGTGAGCTGTCAACATCTGGGAAAAAGGGACTCCAAACACTGGGAAATTTATTCCTGCACAAGCGAGAATTCTTGAGCTGCGGCCAAGCCGCCACGGACCAGAGTGGCCATGGCAGAATTGCGGAAGCTGGAAATCGACTTTCACAAATGCGGAATGGTGTGCCATGGAGGGCCGGGGTGAGTCTTGGTGGAGCGGCTTTGTTCCTTTGAGGGTGTGCTGCTCCCAGGAAGTCCTGGCCATGGGCAAATGCACGGGCTCCCTTGGCTTGTCTGGGGGGAGCTGAACCAATGGCAGTGGCCTCCCCCGGGCTGCGGGCTAAACTGCTGATCTCGAAGCCTCTCGCCTACTGTTCCTCCCTTCCGCCCCATATTACCCAGACTCGGGCAAACGACAACCTCTCGCTTCAGATGGTCGAACGACACGGTCCAACCTCGCATCGTCAACCTCCGACAGTCTCGGCGGCAGTGGCATCAAATCTGGCGTGAAGGGCGCCTCCTCTTCCACCATGGCGATTTTCGCCATGGGCTGGCACAAGCCCGACAATGTCGCCGGCTCTTCTGCGCCCGCGATCATGGTCGGCTCGTTCGTCGCCACCGGTGGGGTGCTGTTTGGTTATGACACTGGGTAAGCAGCTGGACGGAAAAAGGGAATTTAGTTAATTGTGGGAGGATTGTGGGAGGATTGTGGGAGTGTCAAAAGGCTGACTCGCCTCTTTTCCGCAGTGCGATCAACGGGATTCTCGCCATGGACCGGTTTAAGGACGACTTTGCGACAGGCTTCTTCGACAAAAATGGACTCCCGAGCATGTCACCGAAACAGGTGGCTTTAATCGTTGCGATGCTCAGCGCAGGGACGGCTGTGGGTGCGTTGCTGGCCGCGCCGATAGGGGATCGCTGGGGACGTCGGCTGTCGCTCATCTTCGCCATCGGAGTGTTTTGCATCGGCGCTATATTCCAAGTATGCGCAACCGACGTCGCGCTACTCGTTGTGGGAAGGTGGGTTCATTTCGTGGTCGCGTCGAGCCCGGATGGCATCTTTTCTCTAGCACTATGATGTTAACCTTGACAATAGGACCGTGGCGGGCATCGGGGTGGGGATCGTCTCGGTCCTGGTCCCATTGTATCAATCAGAGATGGCGCCAAAATGGATTCGAGGAACACTCGTTTGCGCTTATCAGCTCTCCATCACAATAGGATTGCTTGCCGCGGCGATGGTCAACATGCTCACATACCAGATGCACACAACTGCGGCATACCGGATCCCGATGGGCCTCCAACTCATCTGGGCCGTCATCCTGGCCGGATGCTTATTACTCTTCCCCGAAACGCCCCGATACCTAATCAAGCGCGGGCTCAAGGATGCCGCTGCGCTCTCGCTTAGCCGTCTCCGACGCCTCGATATCACACATCCGGCCTTGATCGAGGAATTGGCGGAAATCCAAGCAAATCACGAATACGAAATGGCGCTGGGGCCAGATACGTACAAAGACATCATTTTCGGCGACCACCATCTCGGCCGCCGAACGCTCACCGGCTGCGGCCTGCAAATGCTGCAGCAACTGACAGGCGTGAATTTCATCATGTATTACGGAACGACCTTCTTCAACGGGGCGGGGGTCGACAACCCGTTCACCATCTCCCTCATCATGCAGGTCATTAATATGGCGTCGACATTTCCCGGCTTGTTCGTTGTCGAGTCGTGGGGTCGACGGAGGCTCCTCATAGTAGGAGCGCTAGGGATGGGCGTCTGCCAATTTGCGATCGCCGCGTGCGGCACGATTAGCGGGGACAACAACAAGACCCAACAAAACCAGATCCTCATAATCTTCGTTGCCATATACATATTCTTCTTCGCGGCGTCTTGGGGCCCCGTCGTGTGGGTCGTCACCTCGGAGATCTACCCCCTGAAAGTGCGCGCGAAATCCATGTCGATCTCAACGGCATCGAACTGGATCCTGAACTTCGGCATCGCGTACGGAACGCCGTACTTGGTGGACACATCGGCCGGGTCGCCTGATCTGGGCTCTCGCGTGTTCTTTGTCTGGGGCACGTTTTGCTTACTCTCGACCTTTTTTGTGTACGCCATGGTGTATGAGACCAGCAAGATCAGTCTGGAGCAGATCGACGAGATGTACGAGCGGATAGATCGTGCGTGGAAGAGCAGGGGCTTCGAGCCGAGCTGGAGTTTCCAACAAATGCGGGACTTTGGCTTTTCGGACAGCGGCATACCCCCGACGGAACCGCAACTCGAGCTCCAGCCGTCGAACGCCAGCACGACGCAGTCGGACACTGGCGGGAGCGCGACGACGAATACGACGAACAACACGACGACGACGAATTCGCAGGACGCCAAGATGTTGTCGCAGCTAGGGAATGTCGATTTAAGTTATTGAGCTTTGAGCATCCCGTCGCTCGCGTTTCTAGCAATGGATGTTGTGGATATCAGCGATGGGGTTTATATTATGATGGAGTTCATGGGAGGGCGTCAACGGTAGGGAAATTCCTGGGTATCAAACGGCGGGTTCGCCTCCTTTTTTGGGTTATGGGTTTCATATGGGGAGTGTTGTTTTTCTCTCGCTTTTCGCATATTGGGGTATCTATCGACCAGGCTGGAGCTTCATGATTCGTGGTGTTCACTGGATGGTTGGGCACAAACTTGGGAGGGCGAAGTTGGGGCCGTGGTATATTCGCAAGGCCGGGCGCATGGCGTAGGGGGGGAAGTGGGTGGGCTCAATCGATACCTAGCTGAGTTGTGTGCCTACATAAGGTATATTGGAATGGAAATCCATCCTCGTCATGGGATAGTACCTAAAGTATCTCAGCTCTAGCAATTTTGAAGCTAATGCATCAGCAACATGTGCATTCCATCGTATCTCTGAAACCCCAGTGCGCTTTCCGGAGCTGTACAACGATGTTGAGCATCGGGCCGTCTGAGATCCGCTCTTCCCCGAACGGCCAGTTACCTGTTATTCCATCATTTCATCTCGATCTGCATGACGAGTCTCAAATTCGCATCCACCTATTCGCCCGTGTAGCGTGACCCCCTCCATCCGAACCCGGGCCCGTGTGACGATGCTGCTGTTTGGTATTACACTTGCAATTCATCTGCCGATTTGCATGTGTTAGTTTTTTTTTTCTCCCTTCTCTGTATCGAGCTATAGCATTCGAAGAGACAAAAAACATACATACAATTCACTATTACCCTTTATTCACACGCACGCAGCACCATCCTTTGTTTTCTGCTTGTGCAACTCGGCGAAACGAAACACCAACTCCCAAAAGCCGACACAACGGCAACCATCACGACATTAGTGGTAGCGCACGTAAAGAAGAGGTAACCGTGTGCGAAACGTGGTGTCATTTGGAGCACAGCCAGCTAACTAGCTAGATACCTTACACGGCTGAGTACATGCCGACGTGTGGGAGCAGCAGCGGGTGTCCATGATCCCACGGTGGTAGTATCCACGGAGCTTGCATCACCACTAACCAGACTTCCCATTCAAACTCCCCGTCTATCGACTTCATTAAGGATGGAGGGAGGGCCGCCATATCGGGAGGCAAGCAGTCGCTCTCGCCGAAGCGACACGAGCACATGCGAGAGCACAGTTACGGCTATGCTCACTTCAGGCCAGACATGTCCTTCGGATGCATCTCCTGGCGACCATGACACCTTCCTCAATGTGAGTGGAACACCTACGACCAGTGGTGGAACTTGTCTAGACACCGGCTCTAGTTTTGTCCCACGGTCTTGAGGAGGAGGGTCTTGTCGGACCCCCCTTTGCCGTAGGCTCGCTTGCTGACGTCGTCTTGTAGACTCTCCTCCCAGCCTCGACGCCTAGCTTTGCGTCCTCTCTTCTTGTTTTGGCTGCTGGATTGGAAACAGTCCTGGCTGACACGGCAAGCGGGTACGACGCAACGGACCAGCAAGAGCCAGTGCTGCAGGCTGGCGCAGGATCATGCTCTTGGTTGTTAGCAGGGCGGCGTTGGCTGACCTGGATCAGGGACACGTTGACCACTAACCGGTCTGAATTCCAGCCATATATATTGCTTGGTGTCTTACTAGTGCTGTTTACTTCTGGTCTCACATACGCCGTCCGGAACCACTCCCGGATAACCTTGACTGGCCGTCTGAAAAACCCGTGGCTTATCCTGCCGGCTATGGCATTGTTCAGCTTGACAACGCTTTTCTTGCTCACGGGGCTCCATATGCATGCGACTTCGGGACATTATGGTCTATCTGGACATGTGGGGGGACCTGACCAAGTCGCCGAGCATGCTCCCATCTTCACGCTCCCCGCCTCGGCTGACGTGGGTAAGAACGTCCTGCCCAATATCCAGGACCCCGAGGCTGTCGACCCTCAAACAGCATGCCCGGGTTACAAAGCGTCCAATGTCCAGGATACCGAGAGCGGCTTTACGGCCGACCTAGATCTCGCCGGCTCGGCATGCAATGTCTACGGCAACGACGTTGAGAATCTGGCTCTGTCCGTCGAGTTTCAAAGTGAAGACCGTATTCATGTCGAGATTCGGCCTCGTTACCTCAGTCCCGAGAATGAGACTTGGTTTCTTCTCCCAGAGGAACTCGTCCCTAGACCGTCGATAAAAAAGAGCAACTCTCATCGTTCCAATGGCCTGGTCGTGTCCTGGTCAAATGAGCCGACCTTCTCTTTTGCTGTGAAGCGCGTGGAGACCGGGGATGTCCTCTTCTCGACCGAGGGGAAGGTTCTAGTTTATGAAGACCAATTCATTGAGTTCGCCTCGTCACTTCCGGAGAACTACAATTTGTATGGCCTCGGCGAGGTTCTTCACGGCTTCCGCCTGGGAAACAACTTCACGAGTATGACTGCTAAGAAGTCCGAAAGACCTTGGTTTCTAACCAACTTTAGGAACATTGTTTGCCGCTGATGTGGCTGACACGATCGACGCCAATCTCTATGGAAGCCACCCGATTTATCTAGATACGAGGTACTTCACCGCTGGCCACTCAGAGAAGCTGACCTACGCTGCCAATGCGACAGACAAGACAGCCCAATATCTATCCTACACCCACGGTGTGTTCCTTCGCAACGCCCATACCCAGGAGATCGTCCTACAACCATCCGGCATCACATGGAGGACGCTCGGTGGCAGCGTCGATCTCTACTTCTACAGCGGTCCCAGCGCGGAGAACGTGATAAGTTCCTATCAGCAATCGACGACTGGGCTGCCCGCTATGCAACAGTACTGGACCCTCGGTTATCACCAGTGCCGCTGGGGGTATGATAGCTGGGCGGCCCTGCAGGAGGTGGTTGACAACTTTGCCAAATTTGAAATCCCGTTGGAAACCATTTGGTGTAAGTCTTACTCTCTCAGCTTGCACCAGTGGAAGCATAGCCGAACTAACCGACTCGTAGCCGACATCGATTATATGAAGCAGTACCGCGACTTTGAGAACAACCCCGTGAGCTTCAACTATGACGAGGGAGCTGAGTTCCTGACCAAGCTGCACGCCAAAGACCAGCACTACATCCCCATCGTTGACTCGGCCATCTACGCCCCAAACCCCGAGAACCCCAGCGATGCCTACGCCCCGTATGATCGGGGAATTGAGGCCAAAGCGTTTGTCATGAATCCGGATGGTTCTATATACTACGGGGCAGTATGGCCTGGCTACACCGGTTTGCTCCTCCTTCTGCTTTCTCTTCCCGTGGCTTCGCTAATAGAGCATAGTGTTCCCCGATTGGGTGGGTGCGGTCCTGAACGGCAGCGGCGCCATCGACTGGTGGATCGATGAGCTCTCTAGATGGTCCGGGAAGGTTGCTGTAAGTGTGCTTGGTTCCTTTTGGTTCCGCCTAGCTAGGCGCATCAATGAATGGAAAGGCTGGGGCTAACTTGTATAGTTCGACGGGCTGTGGATTGACATGTCAGAAGTAAGAACATTTGGCCACCCCTTAACAGTCGAGACACCGTTCACTGACCGGCACAGGTTGCCTCGTTTTGCGTTGGCAGCTGTGGCAGCGGAAACTTGACACTAAACCCAGCCCATCCGCCTTTTCACCTTCCCGGGGAACCCGGAAACCTCATCCTACAGTACCCCGAGGGCTTCGAGCTCACCAATTCATCAGAGGCAATCCCCGCCGCGTCTGCTCTCCGTGAGCAGGAGGCAGCATCTCCCACCACCGTGAGCCCAACGTCCTACCATCGCACCACACCCACCCCCGGGGTAAGAGATATAAACTGGCCGCCCTACGTGGTCAATAACTTCCACGGCGACCTGGCCGTTCACGCTATCAGCCCAAACGCAACCCACCACGGCGGCTACGTGCAGTACGACTTCCACAACCTCTTCGGCCACCAAATCCTCAACGCGACCTACCAAGCCCTCCTCCAAATCTCCCCCACCAAACGCCCCTTCATCATCGGGCGCAGCACCTTCGCCGGATCTGGCAAATGGGCCGGCCACTGGGGCGGCGACAACGAAGCTTCCTGGTCCCACATGGCCTTCAGCATCCCCCAAGCCCTCACCTTCTCCCTCTTCGGCATCCCCATGTTCGGCGTCGACACCTGCGGCTTCGGCGGCAACAGCGCCCTCGAGCTCTGCGCCCGCTGGATGCAACTCTCGGCCTTCTTCCCCTTCTACCGCAACCACAACATCCTGGGCGCGATCCCGCAAGAACCCTACCTCTGGGCCGACGTCGCGCGCGCCACCCGCGCCCGCCATGCGCGTGCGCTACGCCCTCCTTCCCCTACCTCTACACGCTCCTCGCGCGCGCCAACGCCCGCGGCGACACCGTCATGCGCGCCCTCGCCTGGGAGTTCCCCCGCGAGCCCTGGCTCGCCGCCGCCGACCGCCAGTTCCTGCTTGGGCCGGCCTTGTTGGTCAGTCCCTGTCTCGAGCAGGGCGCCACCACCGTCGGGGTGGTGTTTCCCGGCGTGGGCGAGGGCACGCTCTGGTATGACTGGTACACGGGCGCGGCGGTGGAGGGGGTGGCGCCGGGGCGGAATGTCACGCTGGATGCGCCGCTGGGGCATATACCTGTGCATCTGCGCGGGGGGAGTGTGGTGCCGCTGCAGGAGCCCGGGATGACGACGGCGCAGAGCAGGAGGAGGCCGTGGGGGTTGGTGGTGGCGTTGGATTGGGAGGGGTTGGCGAAGGGGGAGTTGTATTTGGATGATGGGGAGAGTTTGGTGCCGGAAGCGGTTACGTGGGTGCAGGTGAGTTGTTGTTCCCTTTCATTTTTTTTCTCCACCTTTTTGCCTCTTTCTTCCCTTTTTTTTTTTTTTTTATATATCTGTATCCTTTGGCATATGGGACTGCAGCTAACGGCGTGCTTCTAGTTCACCGCAACGAGCACATCCATCTCAGCTGAACCCCAGGGTGATTATGTCGACACCAACGCGTTGGGCAACGCCACTGTCATGGGCCTGGCCAAGGGTCCTGTGAGGGTGTGGATGAATAGTCATGTGTTGGATCTTGCGAATTGGAATTATGACGAGGAGAGGGCTACATTGTCGCTGCATGGACTGAATGACCTGTTCCCACAGGGTGCGTGGGCAGAGCGGTGGGAGATTAACTGGGAGTGAGAACAGTCTTTGGATTAGGTTGATTTTATGCAGCGGGTTGGGTTTCCTTTGGGAGTTTGTCTGGTTAAGAGGCGGAGGCACGAGAAAAGCGTCGGTTATGACATGGGTTTCTTGATATTGTAACGAATGATGACACATTCTTCAGCCCGTGTTCAAGAACCTCAATTATTTATGGTTGATTGATATTAGCGCCGTGGTAGCGCCGCCTTGAATATGTACAGCTGTTTGTTACTGCGGTGTTTTACCCCTGAGCGAAGCCTTAACTCCGCCGCCTGGTGTCCCGGGACACATTCTCTAGTCCGAACATCAGTCTACCGTGTATATCTGACCTCCCACCCAGACACCCCGACATTAACCTTTCCCCCAAAATCACCCTCCTAGTCCCGTTTCCGGCCTGCCCCTTGCCTGGCCTCTCCCCAACCCCCGTCCTCATCCGAATCCATCCCCCCACTCCCACCACTCTCCATCAGCCGAATCCCCTGCTCCTTATCCCTATTCCTCGCCCGATCCCTCTTACTCGCCCCGACCCTCCGCGAAGCACCACCACCAACCCGCCGCCCCCCCATCACACTCCCGACCCCAATCCTCCGCAGCTGCCTATTCCAGCAAAACGTCCCCGCAATCATGATCGCCGCGAACCCAAAGACCAGCGGCAGGGCGACGTACAGCACGTCGTCGTCGGCGCGCGTCGGGGTGTGGCCGGGCTTCTTCTTCTTGGGGGCCTTGGGCTTCCAGCGCAGATTGACGGTGGGGCCCGAGTGCCACTGGGCGGCCTGGCCGTTGGCGGGCAGCGCGACCAGCCGCAGGGTGATGTTGGCCTGGTCGACCGAGGGCCGCGAGAGCAGCGACCCTTCCGGGTGCCACTGGTAGAAGCCCCAGAGGGCGGAGATGGTCTCGGAGCTGAAGGCTTCGGCGTCTTCGAAGTCCTTGTGGGTGTCGTCGGCGGGGTCGTCCGAGGGGACGGTGATGTTGGTGTAGAAGCCGACCACTTTGACGAGCGTGTTGTTGGGGTCGGGGAAGAAGGTGGTGTCCCAGGTTACTACAGGTGTGTGGGGGTTAGTGAATGCGCGGGGTGGGAACGTTTCGGGGTGGGATAGGGATTGCTTACCGTAGGGTGTTGCCCCGGGGTAGAAGATGTCGTGTTGCTTGGGGAGGCAGAACGGCTTGAACTCGCCATCGGTGTTGCTACAGGGGGAGAAGGCGCTGGCACCCAACTCGTTGGTGGGCACTGGCTGTGCGGCGCCTGTGTCCGTGGGCGTATCGGTGAGAGCGGCGGCCGCGGCGGGAACGGTGATCTCGGCTTCTGTTGCTGGTGCTGCCGATGCCGTTCCCAAAAGCATCAGCCATGCGGCGGGAGTGAGTTTGGAAGGGATCATGTTGTTGGTCAGGTGGTTCGGCACCACCGTCGATGTTGAAAAGGGTTGTCCTTCTTTGGGTAGGCTGTTACGGGAATTGATAAGCCAATTGAGAAGGCAAAACGTGTATAATGATTGCCGGTCCTCAAAAGGGGTAATGATACAAGAGGGAGAAGGAGTGGTCGACCGAGAAGAATCGACTCGGCGGCGTCAAAGCCCGCTCTGGAGCGGTAATTTTTGGATGCCGAAGCTTCCATGTCGCGCGACCAGGAACCCCCCGCGGCATGTCCGAGCAAGGCGAAAACGCGCTAAAAGCGAGGCCGTGGGGTGCTCCCTGCCGCCAAGCCGCAGCGATACTGACAGGGGTTATTAACGCATGACAACTCACTCTTCGAAAGAACATAACTACATAGTAAGTATATCTTCCAATAGCCAATAACTATGAGCGGGCTTGATATGGGAGTGGGACAGTTGGGTAAGTCGATTTTCATACCGAGAAACAAATCAAACAACTAACGTTTCCATGCAGATACGGGCACATCTTAACTTCGCTTTCGTCGTTCAATGCCGAGCTATCTCCATATCGATATACTGCGTACAACTGCCACATCGCGTAAAACTCGGTATACTTGACAAACAAGGACTGAACCGTAAGTAAATGCCATTACCCAAGAGTAAAGAGTACCACTCCAACAGTTACAACCCTCAAGACACGGTATTCTTGGCCACAATACCCCTGGCAAAGTCGCCAAAGGTTATGTGCTGTTCCATGTCCACTTTCTCACCGAGGTTCGGCTGGGTAAACACGGCGAGCGTGTTCCGGGCAATCCGGCCCTCGCTCAGCGCCGCCCTCGCGCCCCTCACAAAGTGCGGCACGGCCTTGAACTTGCCGTCGGTGATGCGCTCCAGAGCCTCGCCCGTCTGGAAGGCGATGCAGTCGCGTGGGATCTTGACATGCACCGTTTGGCCGGTGCGCGACTTGATGTACAGCCCAGCGGCCGGGTCCGGCGACGTCTCGAGCTCGGGCAGCGGCACCAGGTGCGGCAGGCCGGGCGATGCCGGCTCGATCTCGGGTGTGGCCACCAGCGGGTTCGACTGGGACTCGTCGACAAACATGGCCGAGGTCAGGCCTGTCAAACAGCCGTGGTCGAGGTGGGTTGCGCACCAGTCGTCCTCGTCCGGGTCGTTACTGTTGGCGACCGCGTCCGACATGGCCACTGGGGCCGGCTCGTTGGTTGGGTCCTCGGGGAAGTAGTGCAGCAGGCGGGCCTTGGTGGTGGTGGAAGTGCTTACGACGCGCTCCAAGTAGCCACTGGGGTATCCGGCGATCTCCTTCTCGGCGAACCTGTCACACGCTTTTGCGACGAGGACGGCTACGTCGATAATCAGGCGGCATAAGTCCTCAAATGTCTCCTTGAACCCGGGGAGTGTGGCTTGGCCGGGCCAGATGTTGGGTGAGAGGTACTCGGGGAAGTTTTCCGGATTGAACTGCTCCGTTGGGACAGCACACGACAGCTCCGGGTCGACGTAGAAGGCGCAGTTGGCGTAGAAGGACCCCTTCAGCGTATCTACCTGACCGTTTTTGAGTGTCTCCTTACCGAGGGACCAACCAGTCAGATACTTGGCCTTTTCATTCTCGAGCTTGTCTGGGCATCGTTAGTGCAGTAGCAGACAGATCTTCAGCTCTTGCGATCTAACACGCACCCAGTTCAGATTTGGGTAAATTCCCTAGGTACGACGAGTACGACAACAAGTGACGCCTCAGCTCGGCGAACTCAGGGGGCACATCCTTGACGACCAGAATTCCCAAAGAGTCAGGGCCGAAGGCTTCGTTGAGCGCCTCCAACGGGACTGTCCCTAGTTTAGGTGAAGCTTGTCAGTGACGACGCCACTTACACAATAACTACCATAACTACCCCCCATACCCGTTTATATTGTTGGAAAAAAAAAATAGTTACCATTCTTGAGATCCTGCAACGACACCGTTACGGCTTGTGCGATGGGAGCCATGGCTTAGAGAATTTCGCTTCGATTTACAGCAATTTTAAGTCAATGATGGAAGATTGAAAGAATTATCCAAGCAATTGCCCAGTCTGGTGATTGTTCTTGTTGCTGCCCCTCAAGATAGTGGGGCGTGTGCCAAGCATATCGCCTGACCTGCTAAACCTGGCAGGTGGATGACGACGGGATGGTGGACCAAGCGCCGAAACAAAGCGCCAGACTTGCCAGACTTGCCAGAATACCGAACGAGCTCTTATCGATAACGTGTGGTTGGCGCTCAATTCGGCAATTGAGACGCCAGCTCGCGGTCTGATCACTAGCTCACGCAACTCCAGGTAATTAACCAAGAGATCAACATGGTTAAACCATTGACTTTCAAAGGTGACAAGAAAAAAGAAAAGGAAGCGCACCGATGCTGGCGAAGGAGCAGGGCAGGCACAGGATGACAACCCAGAGCGACAGCTGAAGGCGCCCAAAGCAGACGATGCCGCTACCAACGTCGACGCCGGCGACGATACCGGCGAGGACGACAGCTGGGTTTCGGCTGATGCTGTGAGTGACATCTCGGGCCCCGTCATGTTTGTCCTCCCGAGCGAGCCGCCAACAGCACTGGCTTGCGATGCCACTGGCAAGGTCTTCGCCCTGCCCATCGAAAACATCGTCGACGGAAACCCGTCGAGCGCCGAGCCCCACGACGTGCGTCAGGTTTGGGTTGCCAACCGGATCGTGGGCACTGAGCACTTTCGCATCAAGGGCCACCACGGGAAGTAAGCAGACCATCCCCTCCCAAACGCCCGACATACCCTTCCCATACTGACTTGGCGTGATCAAGATACCTCTCCTGCGACAAGATTGGCCTCCTCACCGCCGCCTCCGACGCTGTCACCCCGCTCGAGTCCTTTACGCTCCTACCCACTGCCGACACGCCAGGCACATTCCAGATCCAAACCCTGCGCGACACCTTCCTCTCCATCCGCGCCCCGCGCTCAGCTAAGCCCAACGCTCCGCCCGAGGTGCGCGGTGACGAAGCCGAAATCACCTTCAACTCGACACTGCGCGTGCGCATGCAGGCGCGCTACAAGCCGCGCCTCAAGGCTTCCAAGGAGGAAAAGGCGCGCGAGAAGATCAGCCGGCGCGAGCTGGAGGAGGCGGCAGGGAGGAGGCTGGAGGAGGACGAGGTGAAGAAGTTGAAGAGGGCGAGAAGGGAGGGGACCTACCACGAGACGCTGTTGGATATCAAGGTCAAGAGCAAGCATGACAAGTTCGGATAAATATGTGAAGATCAGAGGTGAAGATGGAGAGCGATCGATGCTGAGAACAAATATGACGATACCCTTTTCAGATGTTTACACTACCGGACCCTCAATACTACATGCCATCGGGTAAGCCACCATCACCACCAAACAGCCTGCCTTGAGTAGCATCAGCTTCGCACGAGCCCACAGCCATTCCTCCAACAAACCAGCAAGCAGGGTACCACACCCACCCAGCCGCACAAGGCTCGGCCAGCCCAGCCCAGACAAGGCTGAACGGCTCTCAGCTCCGGTACAATACGAAGCACGTCCCGCAATGGAATCAATCCCACAACGAATCCCACGATCCCGCCCTAGAAACCGCCCACGAAATGACGAATACCCAAGCATCCCGCGCGGCCGTTTGACTCTGCGGCGGCGGCGGCGGCGGCACCACGCGGGAACCCAATCCGCCCAGCCTACACCCCCACCCAGGAACTTCCGGTCTAGGCCCAGCGCACACCCGACTCGCTCTCGCTTTTCCTTCCTCCCCTCCCCCCCACACACAACACAACACAAACACAACACACATCGCCGGCCGGCACGGCAAAGCGGCCGCGTGCTAAGAATAGCAACACACACACACACACACACACACACACACACACACACACACACACACACACACACACACAAGAGCCTCCTACCCAGTCCCCACCCACACCCACACGACTGCGTCGCATGGTGGCATGGCATGGCATGGCATGGCCCAGCCCAACCCGGCCGGCAGCGCTGCGACACTACCCACTACCCCATACACTAGTGTAGTTGCTCCCGAGGAGCCGGTAAGTCATGTGTGTAAGCTGGCGTGTTCAACCTTGCGCTACGCCGGCCGGCCGCACCCCAAGGTCTGGCCGGGCCACATGTCAGCAGCGGACCGGTCCCGTCCCTCGCTCAGCCCTACGGGCCTAGCGAGCTAAGTGAGTGTCTAGATTTTTGTTGTTGGTGAGTTTGTTGTTGTTGGTATGTTTTGCTGCGCGAAGGTTAGGTGGTGGTTTACGTGGTGTTGATGATGGCAATTGCTTGTGATATCAAAGCACAGAGAAAAAAAAGGCATTTTCAGGTATGTACAGTTTGATTGTAATTCTGTTCAGACGCTACTCCGCCATTTCTCATACTATTCTGCGTCTCGCCATCTGTGCAAACATCCATGATATATCGCAAACGCCAGTCCGAATCGGATCCCAAATCGTTCCCGGCCTCGTCAGTCGTCATGCCTGTGACATCGCCCTTTTTGGCCCCTCGCTCAACGCCGGTCCCAATGCCGTTGACGGATACGCCGATTTAGAAACCCTATTCCAAAAAACGAAGAAGAACGGAACAGAAACGAAAAAAGAGTAGCCGAATAAAAAATGGACAACAAAGTAAGATGAAAGAGGAAAACAAAGATATGGTACAATCCCTAGTGTAGAATGATAAAATGTGCTCGCCATACTCGGACAAATCTAAATGGTAATAATGTTTCTTCAGTGCTCAACCTTCAGCCTCTTCGCATCTGCGCCCGTCGTCTCAGCCGGCGCATCATGATGTCCTCCACTCACGCTGATATCTGGGCTCTTGCGCTTTAGCGGGGCCAGATCATCCCTCAAAAACGAGGGTCCGGTTCCGACCACAGGCGTCGACCACGTTAGCGGGCTCAGCGTGTTGTGCTCGTTCCCCTTGATACCCCAGTCCGCATAGAAGCCGTTAGGGCTCGGGAGCAGGCCCTCTCCGAGGAAGCGGGACGGCAAGGCTGAAACGGGCGTATCAATGTTCATGTTGTTGGACTGGTGGGGCGGTGGTCGGGCGAAGGGATTAGGTGGACCCGTGGCACCTGCAGAGAGTAGGGTGGTGGAGGCGGACGGAGAAGGCGGTGGCAGGACGACGCCGGAAGAGTGCGAGTCCGGCCGCCGCGAAGGCTGCGACGTGACGTCTGTTGCTGTCGTCATGGTGCCGTGCGGGGAGGCCGACCCGTTCGTGGCGCTGCCACCAGTCCGATTCGTCTGGGATCCGCACTTCAACTGCGGCCGCGAAATGCTCCCGCCGACGCGCAGGCGGTGGATCGTGAGGGCGGCGTAAAGACGG